AAACCAAGGGTTTCTAGCCTGGCGCGCCTCCTACCGGCTTTGAAGAACACTGCGCTTCTGTGCCCGCTCTGTTCAGAGAAATCCAACCAATCCTCATCCACTCAAAAGAGGCTCCAAGTCCTGGAGAACCCGCGGGGAGCCTAGAGGGGGTTCAAGGAGTCCAGGTTTTACTGCAGATTCTTTGGCGCTAGCTCCCAGCTGACAAATCAACATCTCAATCTGACAATTAGTGGTCGAGATTGGGGGTGAGGGGCTCTCACAGCCCCGGCCGCTTAGCCCTCCTAGCGGGAGGCAGAGAGGTGGGCGGTGCTGGCAGTGATGAACGACTCCAGGGGGGCCCGGGGCCCCGAGCGCGCATTCATTACTCGACTGACAGGCGGGTGGCGGGTCGGGCGGGCAGCGAGTGGACGTGCCGGGAAACAGGCCAGTAGCAGGAGGGGGCTAAGGGAAGTGTTTAACAGTCCCACTGCTCCATCTGCTCCTGGTCCTTCGCCTTGACCCTGGGACTTGATTTCCTTGAGCTCGGCCTCCCAGTTATTGGAGCTGGCCCTGGCTGGGATGTAAGGGCGGGGACCTAAGCCCTCTTCTGGGGTTAGGTGATTTAAGGTCCGAGATGTCAAGGAAAGGTATTAGGCAGGTATCAAGGCTAGGCGCTTCGGTCTGACCTCTGAGAAACTGTGCGTGACTTGTGCACTCAGAGATGGTGTGTATGACAGGGATTGATGAGTGTGGATCGCACGTGGGGGTCAGCGACTGTGTGTGTTAGTGCCAGGTGTGTGTCAGTATGATTTTGCCAGTAGAGGTGTGAGATTCCCATCTGAGGATGAACCACCCCTCTCTGTGTGTCCACCCCCTGTGTGTCCATCTCCCCACTACCCCCTAACTGGCTGTCAGCTCTGTCTCCAGTTATGGAGGAAATGGCAGTGTGCACGGTGACGGTGACAACTGAGGTGTGCTGCTGAGGTGGGGGGTGGGGGTGGTGCTAGATGTTAACTGTGAGAGTGCTGGTCAGGACAGCTGCTCCCTTCCAGCAGCTTCACCACTAACATCCCTACCCCGAGGGTCTTGAAAGTAGTGGATTGATTTTTTTTTTTTTTTTTTTTTTTTTGCCAAAGTTTGGACACCTAGTTGCTGTGCCCTGGGGAACAAAGTGATTACTACCAGAGTTGTCTAGCCCATACTCCTACACACACACATACACGAGGTCTCCAGTGTAAGATGTGATCTCCAACCCATGTGGCCTCCCTAGGCTGGTGTGGTGGCCAGAGAGGAGTTGGTAGATGTTGAGCAGATGCCTGTGTGATGCTCAAGAAGAGAGGGGCTGACCTTCAGACCTCCAAGGCAGCCTACCTCTTTGGAGCCTGTATTAGCAGCCTCTGAGATCCTAATCTTTTGGGTCTCAAGTCCAAGTTAGTTACTAGTTTATGCCTTGGGAGGATAATGCTAACTGCACTCTAATTCCTCTCCCTAATAACTCTCTTCGGTTTTGCTTGGTCTCCACTCTCAATCTTCATTCTCAAAAACACCAAGAAGTTGAACCTGGCCTCCTCCCCAGCCCTGAACCTCCTGGGTCTACAGAGCAGAGAACTGGGCTGACTCTGGATCTCTGGCCCCCTGTTTTTTTCAGCGAGACCCTTCCCTTTGCCTTGTTGTTCCTTGGGGCTAGGGTATCTCTTGGAGCTTCTGTATCTTTATCTCTGTACTCTTTTTCCTCCTCCTCCTCCTTCTCCTTCTCCTCCTCCTTCTCCTCTTTCTCCTTCTTTTCGGGGTCTCACTCTGTCTCCCAGGCTGGAGTGCAGTGACTCCATCTTGGCTCACTGCAATCTCCTCTCCTGGATTCAAGAGATACTCCTGCCTCAGCCTCCTGAATACCTGGGACTACAGGCTCTGCCTGGCTTTATTTATTTATTTATTTATTTATTTATTTATTTATTTTGTATTTTTAGTAGAGCCAGGGTTTCTCCATGTTGACCAGGCTGGTCTCAAACTCCTGACCTCAAGTGATTCACCCACCTCAGCCTCCCAAAGTACTGGGATTACAGGCGTGAGCCACGGCGCCCAGCCTTTGTACCCTCCTTTGTGTCTGCATATTTCCACATTTAGGAATCTTCCAAATTTGTCTTCATACATTTTCGGGGGCTCTCTCTTTGTTCCTCTTGGGGCTCTTCTCTTTAAGAATACACCAGCCCAGCAGAATACCCCAGGGAGATTGGAGTAGGAGGAGGAGGGCTTTCTTCCTGCCCCCATCCAGAGGTGATTGCTAACCCAAGGATGGTCACACCGTGTCAGGACTCGGGCACGCGCAGGTCACTTCACATTCTGGGCACAGACGCCTGGTCGATGCCCTGCTGTCCCTCCCTCCTCCCAACCTCCCTCCTCCTGGCCCCCGCCCCCTCCGCCCGCCTGGAAAAGGCAAATTTGACATTTTTAAATCCCGAGCCTTAAAGGGATCGATGCGGCCCGGGGGCCCCGCCCGGGGTCGATATTCCTGATTGCGAAGCGGCCGCTGCGCGGAGCCCGCGTGTAAATCACCCGGGCTGGAGGAGGGGGTGTGGGGAGCCTACCACGTCCCAGACTGGTGAAGCCAGGAGGGGTCGGGACCCGGGCGGGACCCGAGGGCGATGGAATGAGAACGACAGGCCTTAGATAACCAGAGAAAAGCCCTCCCAGGGCCTCCCCCTCCCGCGCTCAGCCCTGTCAACTCCCCCGGCCAGCTCCAGTCTCGCTTCAGCGGCCGCCACCCTTCGCTGCCCCTGGAGCCGCCGGGGAGGCCAGTGTCGGAGCCAGCCATGCGGCGGCTCCTCTCCGGCCGCTCCCGCGGGGCCGGGGCTTCGGCGGCTGCTGTCACGGAGCCGACAGGCCGGGCCGGCCGGGAAGGGGCAGGTGGCGGGGGAGAAGCGGCGGGGTGAGGCTGACTTAGCACTGGCACTCAGTGGGCGCGCAACATATGTTCACTGAATTGAGAGTCTGGGACACCGAGCGGCGCAGGGCAGGGGGTCGGAGGGCACAGGCGGGGTAGGAGATGGCCCAGACCGGGTGAGGGCAGAAGCTTCACTCACGGTGGAAGAAGGCACTCGAGACCGCTCTGGGAACAGCTGGGCTGGGATAGACCACCCCAGCCCTCTCGGGGGACACCTGGGTAGTAAAGAACAAGACATAATGGGGCAGGCAGGAAAGTTTGGACCCCACCCACAAGCGCCTCCACCACCCCAACCTCCGATCCTTGTCGCGCTCTGCTGGGGAAACCAAGGCAGCAGATGCTGAGAATAGCCAAAAAGGTTAAAAGCGGGGTCAGCGACGAGGCTGGGGCAGCAACCAGAATTCCTGCATGGGTTTCTGGATCCTCCGCCCACGTGGGGCCCGTTTGCGGGTAAATGCACCACCGCGCCCCCCACCACAGCTCAGACACTTTCCACTCGCTGCAGCTTGTCAGATCCCCCCACCTCCCACTCTGCACCAGTATATAGAACAACAATTTGGGGAAAACAATCCGGGCGGAGTGACGGCCCGGTAATTGTGACAAAGTGAGTGCGGGCTGCTGGAGAGAGCACTAGGGCGGGAGCGCTGCGGGGCGAGGCGTAGGCAGGGGCGCCTCCCCCCGCCCTGCCGCCCCCTCGTTCTTATTCCGGTCACCTCCTATTCCTCTCCTTGTCTCTTCTCCAATTCCTCTTCTCCCGGCTTCTCGCGCCTTCCTTTGCTTGTTCCTCCATCTCTCTTCCCTTTCCTCCCGGTAACAGCTCTTCTCCCGCTTCCCCCACCCCGTCGCCCCTCCCCCGGTGCGCTTTTTCCTCGCTCACTTCTCCCCTCTCCTCCGCCTTCCACTCGTTTCTTCGGCTTTTCCTCGCGCTTACATTGCCCTTGGGCCCCTGGCTCTCCCCGCACAGTCGGCTTCTCTCCCTCCCCACTTCTCGCTTCCTAAGATCGAACCCTGAGCCCCTTCCCGACCCCCACTCTCTGGGCCGCCAGCGCAGCACCGCATTCCTGGGTTCCTCGGGCCGTAAAGCTGGTGGCGCGCTGCGGCCGGGGGTGCCCCGGCGGCCAGCCTCTTCCCTCTCCCTTGTGTGGCTGCCGCCGCTGCCCCACCACCTGAGCCGGGAGATTGTTTGTCCAGAGGCGGCCGCTGCCGCCCGCGCTGTTTGCAAAGCTTAGCGCGCCGTCGCGCAGTGCGGGCCCAATTAAGTCTCATTCATTATTCAGCGCCCCTGTCCGCCCCCGCCCCCAGCAGTTTGAGGCGTCGCTTTGGGGCCCCTCCCAGCCTAGGTCCCTCAGTGAGACCTAAGAGGTCATATAGAGAGCAGCATTTCCTCTCCAGGCCGAGATGAGGGCTGTGAGGGCGTTTGGAGGGAAGCGCGCTGCCTACTGCAGGGAGGTGACACCCGCGAGGCCGACCGTCCCCCCGAAGCCCCCGCAAGTCCAGACTGGGGGACCTTGGAGATCCACGAGATTTCCAGAGAAGGAAATTGAGGCCCAAGAAGCTGCATGACTTAGCCAAGGTCACGGAGTAGAACCCGGGGTAGGAGCCCGGGACGTTGAAATGAAGGCGTCTTGCATTGCAGCTTCGTGGCAGCACAGAGGCACAGGAAGGCAGACTACCCCGAGCCTCGGGCTGCGGCCTCGCCCTCCAACCCTCTGCTCCCGTTTCTCCCTCTGGTCCATAGCCCGCGGGACAGAGCAACCCTGGATTGGGAGGCTCCTCAGATCTCAGGCTCAGGTGCAGAAGCAGAGCCCCTAACTGGAAGGCTCGGAGGTGGGCCCGTGAGGCAAGCCCTGTGGGGGGTTGAGGACAGCTTGGGTTGGGGGTCCCTCCCTGCAGCCTGTCCGTGGATGTCTCTGCCTTAGGGGAATTGGAGGTGGAACCATCCAGTCTTGAAGGTCAACGGAGCGTGAAAAGAGGAGCGTGCAGCTTGAGGTGAGGGAGGAGTCACCTTTCTATTTGTGGGGGTGGGAAGAGGTAATCAAGGACATATTCTTGCATTTACAGGAGTTTGTCCTTTTTTTAGCACTACAGATAGGAGCGTCCTTGCTCCTCCAGGCAGCCCCTCCATAGGGGCAGTCCTGTGCTGCTGTGACTCGGCGCCCGCCCAAGGTGAGTCTGGGGACCGCCCGGACCCGCCCTTCCGTCGGCGGCAGCGCCACCTGGCGGCGGTGGTGCCGTGGTGCGCAAGGCGCTGGGCCTGGGCTGGGCGCTGAGTCTGCTGGAGCTGCCGGCGTCTGCAGAGCCTTGCACCCTCCCCTCGAGGGCTGGCGGGAGGAGTCCCAGGCGGGAATGTGATCCCGAGGGGGCCGGGGAGGGCCCTGAGGAGGAGCCTGGCCTGGGGAGGCCGGACTTCCGTGACACAACAGACACAAAAGACAAAGTCCATTTGGATGAAAGTGGGAGCGGGGCGAGACATGTCATTTTCACTCTGTGGTCAAAGGAAATGACTGGTCTGACTCGGTCTGGGAGCGGGGCACCCAGGTACGGCCACTTAATTTGGGACTAGCGGGTGCTGACTGGTGGTGGCTCCAGATAGAGGGGACACTGGCAGGCACGCTTGACGTCTGGTTTGATATTGTGAGGATTCGTCCAGCTGCTGTGGAGTGACTTTTCAAGCCGGCCTCCGAAAGAGGTGGTTGAGTTGTGGGGTGCAAAGGTCTAGGTCAAACGTAGTTTTCCAGGATATTTTAGTAGAGGGAATTCAGGACCCCTTTCAAGTTTGACCTGTGGGAAAATCTCATGGCCTGGAGAGTTAGGAAGGCAGGAGAGGGGCTAAAGCCTGGGCCAGTGTGGGAGGGCAGCCACAGTTGGAGTTAAGTCGTGGGTAAGGCCGAGGCTTTAAAAATGTGTGGGAACTTTGGAAAGGCATCCAATGCAGCTCTGCCCCTCTACACATCCCCCCATGAGTCATTTGGGGTCATTGGTCTGAGGGGAGGTCTGAAATTTAAACAGCTTTCTCCTCTAAATCTGGAGTCACTGTGGTTGTAAAGAATGGGACTGAGGTGCTAGGACAAGGGATATGAGATAAATAGCACTGGGGACTCAGGCAGATCTGGACTCGACTTTTATTGGAAAGAGAAATGGTTGCTGTGTTGGAGTTTGGACATCATCTTATGACTCTGCTTTTTCCCATCTCTTAGGGTCTAAGGATAACTCTGGGGCCATGACGGCCATGATTCTCACAGAGGACTCCAAGACTTCTGTGCTGCGAGTAAGCGGACTTGTTCTGAGACCTTTGCCTTAGAGGATGGCCAAGGGGCTCCTGGTGACCTATGCCCTCTGGGCTGTGGGGGGCCCTGCTGGGCTTCACCACCTGTACCTGGGAAGGGACAGCCACGCCCTGCTCTGGATGCTGACCCTGGGGGGAGGTGGGCTGGGCTGGCTCTGGGAGTTCTGGAAGCTCCCAAGCTTTGTAGCTCAGGCCAACAGAGCCCAGGGGCAGAGGCAGAGCCCCAGAGGGGTGACACCCCCTCTGAGTCCCATTCGCTTTGCTGCCCAGGTGATCGTTGGCATCTATTTTGGCCTTGTGGCACTGATTAGCCTTTCGTCCATGGTCAACTTCTATATTGTGGCCCTCCCACTGGCAGTTGGCTTAGGGGTCTTGCTGGTGGCTGCTGTTGGCAATCAGACCTCAGACTTTAAGAACACTCTGGGGGCAGCATTTCTCACTTCACCTATATTCTATGGCCGCCCCATAGCCATACTGCCCATTAGTGTGGCCGCCAGCATTACAGCTCAGAAACATCGCCGCTACAAAGCTTTGGTGGTGTCAGAGCCGCTCAGTGTGCGGCTCTACCGGCTGGGCTTGGCTTACCTTGCTTTCACAGGCCCACTGGCATACAGTGCCCTCTGCAACACAGCTGCCACCCTCAGCTATGTGGCAGAAACCCTTGGCTCCTTCTTGAATTGGTTCAGCTTCTTCCCTCTTCTTGGCCGCCTCATGGAGTTTGTCCTCCTTCTGCCTTACCGGATCTGGAGGCTATTGATGGGAGATACTGGCTTCAACAGCAGCTACTTCCAGGAGTGGGAGAAGCTCTATGAATTTGTTCACAGTTTTCAGGATGAGAAGCGTCAGCTGGCTTACCAGGTAAGGCTTTCTTCCCTCAGTCCTGTCTGGTGGCTCTGGTGGCCCTCATGTGGAAGCACTGTACTTACGTCTGTTGGCCAGGTGCCAGAAGGATGTTCTGGCTTCTTTGGATATCTGTTTGCAATGGGCAAAGGTTACAGAGGCTGTAATAGTAGAGTAGGAAAAATATATGTGTATATTATTTACTTTTTATTGAGGTACAACGTATATACGGTGCACTAATTTTATGTATACCCCACTCAGATCAAGGGATGGGACATTTCCAGCACTAAGAAGGTTCTTTTATTCCCCTTCTCGGCCTATACTCCCACCTTCAGAGGTTATCTCTATTCTGACTTTAGTCACCATACGTTAGTTTTGCTCATTCTTCTTCTTTTTTATTTTTTTAAGATAGAGTCTTGCTCCGTTGTGCAGGCTGGAGTGCAGTGGCTCTATCTTGGCTCACTGCAAGCTCTGCCTCCCAGGTTCATGCCATTCTCCTGCCTCAGCCTCCCAAGTAGCTGGGACTATAGGCACGTGCCACCACGCCTGGCTAATTTTTCATATTTTTAGTAGAGACAGGGTTTCACTGTGTTAACCAGGATGGTCTTGATCTCCTGACCTTGTGATCTGCCCGCCTCGGCCTCCCAAAGTGTTGGGATTACAGGCGTGAGCCAACATGCCCGGTCCAGTTTTGTTCATTCTTGAGCTCCAAAAAAGTGGAACCATCCATTATGTGTTCTTTTGTATTTGGCATCTTTCTTCTTTCATTCAACATCATGTTTATGATATTTATTCCTCTTGATTTCTTTTTTTCTTTTTTTTTGAGACGGAGTTTCGCTCTTGTTGCCTAGGCTGGAGTGCAATGGCACCATCTTGGCTCACTGCAACCTCCGCCTCCTGGCGATTCTCCTGCCTCAGCCTGCTGAGTAGCTGGGATTACAGGCATGGGCCATGACGCCCAGCTAATTATATATTTTTAGTAGAGACAGGGTTTCTCCATGTTGGTCAGGCTGCTCTCGAACTCCCGACCTCAGGTGCTCTGCCTGCCTCGGCCTCCCAAAGTGCTAGGATTACAGACATGAGCCACCACACCCGGCCATTATTCCTCTTGTTACTTGCAATTGTAAATTGTTTGTTTTCACTGTTGTGTAGTATCCCATTGTATGATTATACCACAGTTTATTTACTCACTCTATTGTTAATGAACGTTTGGGTTGTTTCTGGTTTGGGGCTATTATAAATAAAGTTGCTATGAGCTTTCTTGTACATGCCTTTGGTGGACATACATATATTTATGTCTTTTGTGGGGAAGAGATCTTGCCAGGGATATGAAGTTCCACGTTGGACAATGGACAGTTGTGATTAATGGCCCTTGCCATGAGATCTAGAGCTTGTCTATGTTTCAAAAGGCTGGCATTCTTTTTTCTAAAATAATTTTTTTCTTTTATTATTGTTCTCTAAGGCTGGAATTCTAACCTGAGCTGCTGGACCTTTCCCATGGGCAAGTAGAAGCCAATTCTAGAGATATGATAGCCTGATTTAGCAAAGGTGCAAGGAGAGGCCCAGGTACCCTAACAACTTGGGAGATTCTGACTTGTCATCTTCTGTTTCCATAAGGTTTTGGGCCTCTCAGAAGGGGCAACAAATGAAGAAATACATCGGAGTTACCGGGAACTAGTGAAGATCTGGCACCCAGACCACAACCTGGACCAGACAGAGGAGGCACAGAGGCACTTCCTGGAGATCCAGGCTGCGTATGAAGTCCTGAGTCAACCCAGGAAGCCCAGGGGATCCCGGAGGTGAAAAGAAACTTCCCCCTGAGGATTGACTCTTCCTATCAGAGCTAGGCAACTTGTCCCAAATCTAGCTTTGCCCAGGAATGGCATCCCAACAAGGTTAAAGAAACTGCTTGCAGGGGCCGGGCGTGGTGGCTCACGCCTGTAATCCCAGCACTTTGGGAGGCCGAGGCAGGCAGATCCTGAGGTCAGGAGTTCGAGACCAGCAGCCTGGCCAACATAATGAAATCTCGTCTCTACTAAAAATACAAAAAATTAGCCAGGCGTGGTGGCAGGCGCCTCTAGTCCCAGCTACTTGGGAGGCTGAGGCAGGAGAATCGCCTGAACCTGAGAGGCAGAGGTTGTGGTGAGCCAAGATCACACCACTGCACTCCAGCCTGGGCAACAAGAGTGAAACTCTGTCTCAAAAAAAAAAAAAAAAGAAAAAGAAAAAGAAACTGCTTGCAGGGAACATGAGAAAACCTTAATGGGGTGAGAAAAGATTGTGGTAGAAGAATGTGTTTATATTCTGAATTTCTGAATTCTTAGCTATTGCATTCTTGACAATTTTTCTTAAAACCAGAGAGTGAAAGGCATATTATAAAACAGTCAAATATCTTTTAGAGTATGGACAACTATTATATATCAATAAAAAATTAATTAGAAAAAAATATATCTTTTAGAGAACACACCACCTTATCCTACCCATGATATATTGATGTGTGATAGAGGAAGGTTATTTAACTATTTTTTAAATGTGTAAAACAGCAGGGCATGGTGACTCATGCCTGTAATCCCAACACTTTGGGAAGCTGAGGTGGGAGGATCATGTGAGGTCAGGAGTTCAAGACCAGCCTGGTCAACCGACGTGGTGAAATTCTATCTCTACTAAAAATACAAAACTTAGCCAGGCATGGTGGCGCACACCTGTAGCCCCAGCTAGTTGGGAGGCTGAGTCAGGAAAATCACTTGAGCCTGGGAGGTGGAGGTTGCAGTGAACTAAGATTGAGCCACTGCACTGTACTCCAGCCTGGGCAGCAGAGCGAGATTCTGTCTCAAAAATTAAATAAATAAATGAATAAATAAATAAATGTGTAAAGCACTATGTCAGGAGATTGAAGAAAAAATGTGAAGGTTCTAGTATTCACAAGCTGTCCTGTGATAAGAGGGATTTGATCTTTTCTATAGATGGGGTGAGACTAGGGTTACATTTCAAAATTTGAGAAAAATATTTTCATTCCATTTATGGGAGAACTTTCTAGCAGCTACACTTTCTCCAAGAAGGAACAAACTACTGTGGAATGGGGGTAGTTCTTCCTCCTCTGCTTAGAGGAGGATTTTTGGAGAGCCCTCAGACTTTACGTAGGTGGTTGGACTGGCTGACTTCTCAGGTCTTCCCATTATTTGAGGTCTGATTCTGGGCTACATACCCTACTCCTAGAAGCATACAATCTGATGGGAGATAATGACACAGGTACACAGATATCAAAGCCCTTGTTCAGTGTTTTGAACTAAATGTCATAAGAGCTATAAATAGTGTATTGGGACACTGGAGGAGGGACAGATAACATTGTTTTATGGGGACTCAGAAAGATTCATGATTTTATATGTCGTATGTCCCTTTGGGGACTTTGGGGAACCCTAGAGAACCAGCAGCTGGAGCATCTCAAGGGGGCCTTATTCAATTCTAGGTAACTAGCCAGGTGTGAAAGAAAGGGCCCAGGATGTCTCACTTTGCAGAGGAAGATTGGAAACCAGGAACATGATTTTAAATTATGTGCCTTTACTGCAGCTTTCTTGCTGTCTTTGTGTGTGTGCATTCTTTACATTTTTTTCTTCTTTCTGGATGTTAAATCTGAGTAATATATATAATTTTTTTTTTTTTTTGAGGCGGAGTCTCAGTCTGTCGCCCAGGCTGGAGTGCAGTGGCACGATCTCGGCTCACTGCAAACTCCGCCTCCTGGGTTTACGCCATTCTCCTGCCTCAGCCTCTCGAGTAGCTGGGACTATAGGTGCCCGCCACCTCGCCCGGCTAGTTTTTTGTATTTTTTAGTAGAGACGGGGTTTCGCTGTGTTAGCCAGGATGGTCTCGATCTCCTGACCTCGTGATCCGCCCGTCTCAGCCTCCCAAAGTGCTGGGATTACAGGCTTGAGTCACCGCGCCCGGCCTGTAATTTTTAAAGTGGAATTATGACCAGGCATAGTGCCTCTTGCCTATAATCCTAGCATTTTGGCAAGCCAAGGCACGAAGATTGCTTGAGCCCAGGAGTTCAAGACCAGCCTGGGCAACATGGCAAAACTCCATCTCTACAAAAAGTACAAAAATTAGCTGGGTGTGGTGGGGTGTTCCTGTAGTCCCAGCTAAGGAGGCTAAGATTGGGAGGATCACTTGAACCCAAAAGGTGGAGGGTGCAATGAGCCGAGATTGTGCCATTGCACTCCAGCTTGAGTGACACAGTGACGGCCTGTCTCAAAAACACAAAAATAAATAAATAAACAATAGTGGAATTACGTTAGCGACTATTCTTTCTCTCTCACTCTCTTTTTTTTTTTTTTTTTTTTTTTTTTTTGAGATGGAGTCTTGCTTTATCACCCAGGCTGGGTCTTGGCTCACTGCAACCTCTGCCTCCTGGTTTCAAGCAATTCTCCTGCCTTAGCCTCTTGAGTAGCGGGGATTACAGGTGCCTGCCACCATGCCTGGCTAATTTTTGTGTTTTTAGTAGAGATGTGGTTTCACCATGTTGACCAGGCTGGTCTCGAACTCTCATCTCTACCAAAATACAAAAGAAATTAGCCGGGCATGGCAGCGTGCGCCTCTAGTCCCAGCTACTTCAGAGGCTGAGGCAGGAGAATTGCTTGAACCCGAGAGGCGGAGATTGCAGTGAGCCAAGATGGCGCCACTGCACTCCAGACTGGGCAACAGAGCAAGACTCTGTCTCTACAAAAAACAAACAAAAAATATGACATGTAGCACTACTTCTATAAAATATAAATATATTCAAAATAATCTATAAGGAAAAAGAGACCAAGGAGTGATTAGGGTCTTTCCTTGATATGGAAAATTATTTTACTGTTCTCAAATTTTTATTATTATTATTTTTTGAGACGGAATCTGGCTCTGTTGCTAGGCTGGAGTGCAATGGTGCAATCTCAGCTCACTGCAACCTCCACCTCCTGGGTTCAAGCAATTTTCTCGCTTCAGCCTCCCTAGTAGCTGGGACTACAGGCGTGCGCCACCATGCCCAGATACTTTTTGTACTTTTACTAGATACAGGGTTTCACCATGTTGGCCAGGATGGTCTCAATCTTTTGACCTCATGATCCGCCCGCCTTGGCCTCTCAAAGTGCTGGGATTACAGGCACGAGCCACCACGCCCGGCCACTGTTCTCAAATTTTATTATGTTTTTTTTTTTCTTTTCTTTTTTTTTTTTTTTTTTTTTTTTTTACAAAATATGGATATATTTTAATTTACTCAAATGGGAACTGCTGATAAGCAGTTCTTATTTTTCCAGCATGAGCAAGGCTACAATAAATATCTTTGAATATAGGTACTGATGCTTTTTGTTTTTTGTTGAAGCTATATCCCAATAAGTGATAAGTAGGGTCGAACAGAAGACATGATATTTGGCTGGGCGTGATGGCTCACACCTGTAATCCCAGCACTTTGGGAGGCCGAGGTGGGCGGATCACAAGGTCAGGAGATCGAGACCATCCTGGCTAACATGGTGAAACCTTGTCTCTACTAAAAATACAAAAAAAATTAGCCTGGCGTGGTGATGGGCACCTATAGTCCCAGCTAATTGGAAGGCTGAGGCAGAAGAACGGCATGAACCCAGAAGATGGAGTTTGCAGTGAGCCGAGATCACGCCACTGCACTCCAGCCTGGGTGACAGAGTGAGACTCCATCTCAAAAAAAGCCATGTTTTTTACAATTTTGATTGATATCGTATTGGGCCAGGCATGGTGGCTCAGGCCTGGCATCACAGCACTTTGTGAGGCTGAGGTGGGAGGATAGCTTGAGCTCAGGAGTTCAACACTAGCTTGGGCAACCTAGCGAGACCTCATCTCTGCTAAAAAAGCAAAACAAACAAACACAAAATTAGCTAGGAGTGGTGGCATGTGCCAGTAGTCCCAGCTAGTTGGGAGGTTGAGGTAGGAAGATTTCTTGATCATGAGAGGTTGAGGCTACAGTGAGCTGTGATGGTATCACTGCACTCCATCCTGGGCAACACAGCAAGACCCTGCCTCAAACAAATGTATTTGGTTGATATTGTGTCAGATTTCTTCTGAAAAACGTTTTAACAATTTAGACTTTCACCAAGTGCAAGAAACTGGCATTTTCTTTGTAACTGGCTTGGAATGTTACCACTCTTTTAAACTTTTGTTAAGATGATTGTGAGAAATAGTATCTAATTACTTTAATTTGCATTTCCCTGACTCCTAATGAAGTTTAGCATCTCTTCAAATCATTATTATTTTTTTTGAGACAGAATGTCGCTCTGTCACCCAGGCTGGAGTGCAGTGGTGCAGTCTCGGCTCACTGCAAGCTCCACTTCCCGGGTTCACACCATTCTCCTGCCTCAGCCTCCCGAGTAGCTGAGACTACAGGTGCCCGCCACCACTCCTGGCTAATTTTTGGTATTTTTAGTAGAGATGGGATTTCACCGTATTAGCCAGGATGGTCTCGATCTCCTGACCTCATGATTCGCCCGCCTTGACCTCCCAAAGTGCTGGGATTACAGGCATGAGCCACCGCACCCGGCCCTCTTCAAATCTTTATTGGGCATTTGAATTTTCTCTTCAGTGAATTGCTTCATTATATTCTCTATTTATTTTAAAATTGTGTTCCTATTTGTCTCTCTCAAATCTAGTTTGGTGGAATCCTTGCATGTTAGAAACCTTAACCCTTTGTAATATGCGTTGTAGATATTTTTCCCTTGCCTATGACTTGTCTTTCATCCTTAAGCATGAGTTTTTGAGTCAGAAGAATCAACAGTAGGATTTGAATCAGGTTGCATTATTTTCTAGTTGTATTTTTTATTTCTTCAGCCTCTTAGAATCTTAGTTTCCTTTAAAATTGAGATAATAATATCTACTTTATTTAAAACATTTTTTTGGCTAGGCACGGTGGCTCATGCCTATAATCCCAGCATTTTGGGAGGCCGAGGTGGGCGGATCACCTGGGGTCAGGAGTTTGAGACCAGCCTGGCCAACATGGTGAAAACCCATCTCGACCAAAAATACAAAAATCACCCAGGTGTGGTGGTGCACGCCTGTAATCCCAAGCACTTGGGAGGCTGAGGCAGGAGAATCACTTGAACCTGGGAGGCAGAGACGAGGTAGGTAGCTGAGATCACGCCACTGCACTCCAGCCTGAGTGGCAGGGCCAGACTCTGTCTCAAAAAAAAAAAAAAAAAACAACTTTTTTTTTCATTTATTTA